TGACATGGCTGCTAGGAAGAAATGGCATTTCTTGTGTGACTGCTGGCTGGTGGTGGACCTAGGAGACTGTGAATGTAACTGGGTCTTTGTTCCAGCTTTGAGGAGACAGCTCTTTTCCTTTAGGATCTGCTGGGAAGTGGCTAGGAAGAGTGAGTATTGATACCATTTAGGAGAATATACCTCTGCTACCTAATACTGTTCTCCCCATCAATTTTTTGGTTCTGTAATAGCAGAGCTCTTGGCTTTCCCCAATGGGGACAAGATGAGTGTCTGCAAGAATTCAAGCACACATCCCTCATAAAAATGCCTAAAGCCAAAAAAAAGTAGAGTCATTTCTCATAGCGCCCAACTCCCTTCTCCTTTTAAAAACTATACTTTGAGGGGCTGGGGATTTAGCTCAGTGGTTCTGGCGCTTGCCTCGATCCCCAGTACCAAAAAGAAAAAATAAATAAATAATTAAAAATAAAAACTATACTTTGAGCCAGACATGGTGGCACATACCAGTAATCTGTGGCACATCCCAGTTGCTTGGGAGGCAGAGATAGGAGGATCACAAGTTTGAGGACAGCCTGGGAAACTTGACAAGACCCTGTCTCATTTACATTTTTATATATGCTTTATTTCTCCTCCTAAATGTTTCCATTTGTGTGGCTGAGTAGTCAGGACTTGCAGAAGAGTAAGAAATAGTTATTTCTTTATTAAGAACCATTCCAGTTATTGCTACATAAGAAAGTACCCTTCCCCAATTCCGTGGATTAAGGGAAGTTGGCCTGGGGGCACACACCTGTGACCCCAGCACTCTGGGAAGCTGGAGCAGGGGAATCCCAAGTTTGAGCCTAGCCTGAATAATTTAGTAATTTAGCAAGTCACTGTCTCAAAATAAATTTTAAAAAGGGCTGGGGTTATAGCTCAGTGCAAAGGCCCTGAGTCCAATCCCTAGTGCTATGGCTGAACGATTGTCTCTTGAGCTCCTTCCCATCCACTGGGTCTGTAGCCACTGCAGGTTCCATTGTCATGTATCCAAAGTAACTTGTCCCATGATTGGCAGGCAGCTTGCTCTCAACTGCCTAGCGCCTTCCTGAGGCCTCTCCAGCATGGCAGCCTCAGGACCGGGACCGCTGGGTGTTTTCTGGTGGATGGCTCCTCCCAGGAGGGCATTTCAAGGGAACTAAACAAAAGCTCTCCATACTCCTGTGACCTAGCTTAGCAAATCAGAGTCAGATGGGACCCATCTTTTGATGGGCTAACTGACCAAAATTTTTTTGAATTGTTTTTTCAAACTGCTTTAAGAACATAAATTTTTTTTTTTTGTACCAGATATTGAACTTGGGACCTTGCGCTTCCAAGGCAGGCATCAGAACCACTGAGCTAAATCCCTGGCGCAAGAACATAATTTTATTTGGGTTGTTTGCTACAGCAAAGACTGTGTGGTTTGAATTTGCTGTGTCCCTTAGCCATTCCGAAGCTCACATTCAACATGTGTGCTGGCCGACGCTGTACTACCAACCTAGATCTGTGTGGCCCATTGTGAAACTCATTTCTATCCCTCAGTAGTGGCCTGTTGAATGGGTATGAGATCACTTTAATTGGCTTGGAACAATCCTGGTTCACTTTTTGGGAAGACTTACCCATGTTGCCACTTGTTACTGGAAAACAGGTTTCCAGATCTTTAGAAAAAGAAGGAGAAGGAAATGTGTGTTGTTGGACAAGCAACCAACAGGTTCTTCCACTGTGCAGGGAACATCCTTGTAAGTTCTGGAATTCCCCTTAAAGTATCTAAAGCTAGAATTCCTGAGTTGAAGGGGACGCATATTGTAAGGGAAAATGGCACTCTATGTCAGTGATGGTGTCTTAGTTATTTTTCTCATTGCTGAGACAAAATACCCAACACTCAAAGTTAAAGGAGGAGAGGTTTATTGTGGCTCAGTTTGTAGAGGTTTCAGTCCATAGTCAGCTGGATTCAATGCAGAGTGGCACAGGAGAGGGGCATTGCAGAGGAGAAACAGTTCATGGCAGGAAGAAGGCAGCAAAGCAACAAAGAAGCAGCAGTGAGTGATAACAGCAGCCCTCTTTCTGTCCCTTATTCTATCCTGGCTACATGTCCTTGGGCTGGTAGCACTCACACCCAGAGAGGGCCTTTCTGTTTTCTACACCCAAACCAATCAGTGGACTAATTCAGTAATCATCCACCCTAGACCGAGCCACCTCTGGAAAGCCCACTTATGACAACATGAGCCTTTGGGGGAACATCTAGAAACAAGCCATAACAGATGATGAACATTTTAGAGCTTTCAGTGATACAAACACGCTGTGACATGCATACCATAGGTTCACTGCCACTACTCTATATCAATTAAAAATAAAAGGTTTTTTTGTGTTTTGGTTTTTTGTTTGTTTATGGTCTTTTTTTTTTTTTTTTTT